CGTTCAGTCTGTGGTTAGTTGAATTCATAGAATGGAACCCATAGCTGTAGAGGGCTGCCTGCATCTGCCTTCTGCATTGATGTGTTAACTGCTTGAGGACTTGGAGTTGCCAGCACTAACACAGGGCCTGGCACATACTAGGTGCACAAATATTAGTGAATGTTGTTGAGATGAGTCTGGTACTTGCCGGTACAAACTCCTAAGCACCAGTGAGAACTAATCTGGCCAGATAATTTTTAGCCACTAGGACTAATGAGAAGTATATTATTTATTAACTATTTTCAGGTAAATATTTTATATTGAAAGTAGTTCTGAGTTAATAATTTGACGGCAGTTTTTTTATTTCTACTTAGGGCCAAGACGGTGGTACAAATGATTCCCTAGGTAGAGTTTGACAATTGAAACAGAGGACAAGGTCCAGTCTCAGCACCACGACAATGCCTCCATTGTCTTCACAGCATCCCTTGTCCCGACTGCATCTCACAACTATGTCACCTTTGTCACAAGGAACTAGCAAAAGACACTACGGTGTAATTTAAACAATCATTTGTTAATCTCCTCTCATGTCTGTTGCAGGACACTAGTTACTGGAGATCCAGAGATGATCACATGCATCAGTGGAACACTCTTTATGGGCGAAGCATTGGGGATATAGTAATTGTCTCCTGCTCTCCTAATTTATTATTTCATACTGCAATGGGAAGGGAAGATATGAATCATGGTCAGTGCAATAGAAATGAACATAGATAAGGAAGCAGCGAGTTCTGCTTCTTTGTGACAGGAAAAGCCCCACAGAGAAAGCAAAATTCGAATTTGGCCTTACGACATGGGTGAGGTGCCCCAGCCGAACAAGGATTCTCTCTTACACTTCAGGAAAAAAAAGCGTCAAGGCATCAAACGTGTATCTCCTCGCCAGGGGAACTGTGAGTTAGAATATTCTTGGCTGATGGAAAACAGAAAATCTAACTCAACATAGCCTAAAAAAGTAGTGACATGTGTTAGCTCAGACAGGAAGCACAGGAAATGTGGCAGCGGGACTGGTTAACTCAGCGTATCGACTCACCCTCAGAAGCACAGGCCTTCTGGTATTTCTGCCCTGCTGTGCCTGGTACTTGGCCTTCTCCATAGGCTGGTTCTCCTCCTGGTCATCTAATGGCCACTGCAATTCTAGGCATTACATCCAGGCACAACTGTGGCCGAAGGAAAAAGAGGTGGTCTCTTCCTGAGAAGGAATCTTTCTCAAGAGAGTCCCAGTAGAAACTCTCAGTAGTTTAGTCTCATGGGCCAGAATTGCACTGCTGTCCCTGACTGCTCCCACTTCTGATATGGCAAAGGAGGCTGATAGTGGCTGGACCTCAGGCTGGAGCTAGGATCTGCCTCTATCATGGAAAATGGCTATGGAGCTTTAGGAACTAGAATCGGTGTTATTAGTTCATAGGAAAACCATTGGGATAGTAAGAGTTTAGTTTGAAAATACAGCAGAAGGCAGACATAGCCCTCTGTGCTATGTCAGATATGCATTAATCTTTCTGCTATGGGGTGGTGCCATTTCTACAAAAATTTCAAGTTATGTGGCTTTAAACAAATGGTAACATTTTATTATTTTATTTTTCTTTATTTATTTATATTTTTAAAGACAAGGTCTTGCTCTTGCTCAGGCTGATCTCAAACTTGTGAGCTCAAGCAATCTACCTGCCTCAGCCTCCCAAAGTACTAGGATTATAGGCATGAGTCATCTAACCTGGCAATAGTACCATTTTACACAATATGCTCACTTTATATTGAGAATGTCCATTGTAATAAATCATATAGAGGTATTTAAGATACTAAAAGATGTGTCTTGTATAGATGCATGCACAAACACACATAATACACACACACACACAAAGAAACCTGCTTTGTTTTCGTTCCCAATTAAGACCGGGAAATAGGAAATAAAAGCCATTTATATTTAAAACAACTTAAAACATAGGGTGTTAATTCTATCAAATTGTTATTCTCTCTAAGAATCTTTCTGACCATTAAAAAATTAATTTATCAATCACAGACCTCCTTTTTTTTTTAAGGAGAAAATAAATAAGAAACAGGAGCAAAAATCATAAACTCTTTTTGCAACTTCTAACTTTTCCTTGGTAAAGTCTTTGCAGTTAAGTTGGAAAATAGCTACCCCTTGTGGCCAAAAATCACGTAATGGGTCGTGCCAGCAGAAAGAAGGCGCGGTTTAAGCATGCTGCAGGAAGGAGGAACAGGAAGACAGGCGAAGGCTGCCCCCTTCAGGAAGATGTTATTGTTACATTTCTTGCGTTAGAAAGTGCTGGCTTGCACTGGTTTATACCAGCTTGCTTAATTCTGGTTGTTGACTGTAATTCCAAGTGCAGATTTAGATTTGATCCATCCATAGGAAAATTTTTTTTAACTCTCCTATTATTTGTTTTCTAGATTTCACTATATTCACTCTTGGCTTTTAGAACATGCGCAAGATGAAATAATTATAATAAACATTTTAGCCTACTTTTCCCCAAACGTTATCAACTGTAATTAGATAGGTCTTGGAGGTAATATCTTTGGAAGCTGAGCAGGGACTTAGAAGGACAAATGAAATGAAAAATTAAGTAATCAAAGATGATTTTTTAAAAATAAATATTTTCAAATCAGTTGCCTTGAATATTATCCCCAAATTCTCATGTACTATTTAAAGTAATGGCATAGCCCTGAATTATTATTTCAGGTAACTACAAATGATGGGTATCGTCTCTTAATGCTGAAGAAAGCATAAAGATTGACGTTTCTTGAAGATGAAAAAGAACAACCTTACCGAGAAAATGCAGATCTTACTTTGGCTTTGATTCCTTAGAAAAATATTGAGGCAAATCACACAAATCAGACAATTGGTATTTATCCCCAGAAGTCTATAGGACTTAAAAAACCCCAACATATCTAATCAAATGTGTATTAAAAAGATACATAACAAAAAACTCCAACAAAGCTCTGTAAAACAAGTATGCACAAGCTTAATCTAAGAGTAAGATGGACTAATGTGTTGATTTAATTCTTGTGAATAAGAACAATAATGGCTATTATTATAATTATTGGCTCCCAGCCTTATAACCGCAGCATCTGCTGGAAGCCAGGCTCACATACTCCAGTCCTCTGCATTGTACCTTGTAGCTAGTTTGCTCCTGGGTATTCCCTTCAATCGGCAACAGCTGGATAAAGGGCATTCTTCCAGGGGGTGCAGTCCCTGAGTTGCTCAACAAAGACTCTGTTGTTGATAGAACCCACTGGGACCAATTAAAAAAAAATCCAAAGTCAAGGGGGAGAAGAGTGTGGTGTTTTGATCAGAAAGGGAAAGGCCAAGAATTCAATTTGGGAAGATCCTTGACATTTTTCTAAAGGTAAAGACTTAGATTTTCTGATAAATTCACTTTCTGTGAAGTGTGCCGTTAGATGATAACGCCATTCCGTAGCACCTGGAAGCAAGTTTTATTCTGGTTTGGTTCAGGCAAAGCTCTTTGGCCCTAGATCTGGTTTGTGAAGGAAAAAATGAGTCTGTTCTCATCTGGCCCAATCCTGTAAAGCTCATCCTCATCTTAATTCATCTGTAAGTCACATCACAGGGTTCTTGCTGTCATTGTTGCTTTGCTTTGCTGTCTCCGCAGTTCTCCAGCCAAGGCTTTTGTGGAGTTGAGCCAGGCACAGACTAGGCATTAAGGTAATATTTGTTGAATGAATGGAGGAAGTGGCACAAAGAAGTCCTAAATTACGAAGACGATTGACCTAGACAGAGGAGAAGGAGGCTGTTCCAAGTAGAGGGAACATCATCTACAAAAACTGGGCAGTGTGACTCGTGTAGGGAACTAAAGGTGGCCTAAGGGAACTGAGGTGGAACAGGACCGTGGCTCCGCTGAGGCATAGCTAACCATCAGGACTCTGGAGCCTGCCAGCTCCGGTTTGAATCTTGGGTCCACTTCTCAGCAGCCCTGTGTGTGTTTGGGCTAGTTCCATAACCTCTCTGAATCTACTTTATGGTGATTAGAAATATTAAATGATTCCTAGCATAAGTGTTTAGAACAGCGCCTCATATATGATGAATAGTCAATATCCATGAACTCCTACCATTATAATAGTGAGTGGTAAGATAAGCAGGGGATAAGTCCCAGAGGCAGCTCTGGGCAAAGGAAGAAAATTAAAACACTACGTCAAAAGCCACAGAGGGTTTTTCAAGGTTTATAAGAGGTGGGGAGAAAATAAGTGATTTGAATTTTAGAAAAGTCATTCTGGTATCTGGGTAGAGGATGGGTTGAAGGGGACCAAACTGAAGTCAGGAAGACCAGTGCGGGGAGATGGGAGCTTAAACTAAGGTGCCAGCTGCAGTGGAGAAGGTGGTGGGAGTGAGCAGGGGGAAGCCACAGGACTCACCAGCTGAATGTCAGTTTCCAGGCCAGGCGACTGGGTGGGTGAGGATGCCAGCCTCTGAGAATGGGAACACCAGGACAGGAGTGGGCTTGGAGGAAGATTTAAGAGTCTAGTTCTGTACAAGGTGTCCTTGATTTTGGACCTACTGAGTTGGAAGAGAAAGTCCAAGTTCAATGCAGAGTACTTTAATAAGAACCATGGCCTGTTTATCAAATGATGCCGTTTGTACTTCTGTTAGTTAAGGTACTATCTCTGCATTGATTACAGATGTTAATATTAAGAAGATTAACTAAACACCATCTAGAAAATGATGATGTTCCTGAGAAGCAATTCAGGAGCGTTATCATTTATTATTCAGTAGTAATTAAACATATGCATACAAATCATTGATCAGGCTGTATTTTGAGGATTTTGTTAACTGGTCTTCTTTGCAATGTACTTCCTTTGGGGTAAATAATAGACGCCAATTATTTGAATGTGTGCATATGGGGGCAAAGATTAACATGTGTACAATTAGCATATAATGTGTGTCTAGTTTTCAGTCACTCCAAACTTTTACTGTGATTCTGCAACTTCCCTTGTAGGTATCTCTGATGAGTATATAACGCCTATGTTTAGTTTTTATAAAAGTATTGGGGAATTGAAGATGACTCAGGAAGAGTATGCTCTGCTTACAGCGATTGTTATCCTCTCTCCAGGTAATTTCAGTGTCATGTTGGAATTTTTATGCTAGTTTACTGATGTTTTATAATGACGTTTACTGAAAAAAATCTAGAAAACACAGAAATAGAAGGAAAAAGTAAGATGGCCTACAATTCTACCATTCAAATTGAACCTCTGTTAACAGATCAGTGGATTGCTTCTCCGTCTTTTTCTAAGCATCACACTCATTCATTTAATAAATGAATATTGAACACTTACTATGTCCTAAGCATAGTTCTAGACATTGGGAATATAGCAGATTACAGTTCCCATGGGGCTTACATTTTGGGAAGGTGAAAAAAAAAGATAAATGAAGAAACAAACAAAAATAATTTATCAGGAGGTGACAAATGCTGCAAAAAAATTAACAATAAGAATATAAAGAAAGGAAGTGGTAGAAAAATGCTATTTTGATTAGTGGTTAGGGAGGGCTTTTCTAACTGGTTGATATTTGAGCAGGGTATAAATGAAACTATGTGTGTTTTAATGTAATAGAGAACACACCATGTCTTCTTTCCTAAGTTTTCATTTCTTCAAAAGTCTTTTCCCAACTCATTAAAATATAGTGGTAAGCGTTTGTTGCCATATTCCACTGTATAGATACATAATCATTTACTTAATTTTTACCATATGTTTGTCTATTCAGGGTATTTCTAATTTTTTTGTTCTAAACATTGTTGAAATGAATACATCTTTGTAATGCAACAATCTGTCTCCATCTTTATATTTAATAACTTGGGAGCAAGTGAGGCCATGTGCATGATTTGGAAAGCATAATTACAATGTTAGCCTTAAACCATTTTTATACATGATATTGAGACATATGCTCCTTGTTACTTTATTTGTTCTACCATCAAAATTATGATTTATGATGAAGAAAAGGAAACTACTAAAATTATACATGGATATGTCTTTCTTTTTGTTTTTTTAATATGAGAAAGAGTTTCACTATGTCACCCTTGGTAGAGTGCTATGGTGTCATAGCTCACAGCAACCTCAAACTCTTGGGCTCAAGTGATTCTTTTGCCTCAGCCTCCCAAGTAGCTGGGACTACAGGCACTTGCCACAATGTCCAGCTATTTTTTTGTCATAGTTGTTATTGTTGTTCTGCAGGCCCAGGCTGGGTTCTCCTTGTATGTGGCCATCGCCCTACCCACTGAGCTCCTGGTATTGCCACATGGATATGTCCTATGACCCAGCAATTCTGCTACTAAGATTTGACCCAACAGAAAAGATGCTAAGTCCAGTGTTAGGGTTTTTGATTGGAATGGGAATTTCAGGAGGCTTCTTAGGATCTAGTTGCAATTATATGAGTACATATCTCTGTGTGTAAAAATTCATCAAGTTGGAACAGCATGTCCGTTTAAAGGGTACTTTAGTGAACTTGCACTTCAGAAGAGTCGACATGGCTATAATGATGCCAAATTAATGCTTGCTACTTTGTTGTTTTACTCTAAACTCCCGAACAGATAGACAATACATAAAGGATAGAGAGGCGATAGAGAAGCTTCAGGAACCGCTGCTGGATGTGCTCCAGAAGTTGTGTAAGATTCATCAGCCTGAGAACCCGCAGCATTTCGCCTGTCTCCTGGGTCGCCTGACCGAACTGCGGACGTTCAATCATCACCACGCGGAGATGCTGATGTCCTGGCGGGTGAACGACCACAAGTTCACCCCGCTGCTCTGCGAAGTCTGGGACGTGCAGTGACGGGCGCAGCCGGGGGCCGGTCTGGATGCTTTTCCCTCATGATAGAAATCTGATGCATAGCTTTCCTTCGTTTTATTTGTACTTGGTTTCATTCAAGAAATCTTGATGAATATTTATGTAGTAATTACGCATCTGACTTCCGCAACTGTAAGCACAGGACTAGGCAGAAGCGCTTTCTCGGCTCTCCCTCTCACAGGCTCCAGGGAATCCCACACTCTGATCGCCCTGATTGCCTAATTAAATTGATTGTTGCTTCAATTCTATCTGTGGAACTAGGGGGGGAAATCTCATTTTGCTCTTTATTTTAACGTATTCAGTATATATTTTATTAAAGCATTGCATTCAAGTTTGGCAATAAACTGAACATTGTGGCAATAGGTTTTTCTTTGGGAGGAAAATTTGACAACTATGAAAACTTTTATTTCTTTAAATGCTGCAAGCCATCCTACTGAACCTGGGGTGGGGTGGGGAATTTACGCAGACAGAAAAGCTCTTACAACATAAATGGCAGTTCTATTATTCTGGAAAAGTCCTGGTGATTATTCATTCCTTCCTAAAAGCCTCTAATCGTATCCTTTTCTTTGAAGTTCCAAGAGAATAGTGTGCAGAAATTTAATAATTTTTACACAAACTATTCCGTCAAGCAATCCCTTTCCCCATAGTTGGGGTCTCAAGGCAGCATCACAAATTCAGCATATACAGATGACTGTAGCACTGCCACTGTCCCTTGTCTCTCTTAAAAGAGCTCCCGATTGGCTTCAGTGTATACAATTAATCATTTTCCATTTTGTTTTGCTTTTTAAAAACACTCCCACAGCTGGGTGCACAGCTGTTGTATACTTCCCCCCAGAGCAGGAATTAGTCCATTTCCTTCCTTCATTGTTACACTGTTGAATTCTTCTCCCCACTATCCTTTGGTGAACACCATAAAACACCTCCTGTAAGTAATGGGCTAATCTCTCCCTTTCTCCTGCAGTCAGCCAAAGCAGAGCTTGCTTAGCAAGCAGAGTTTTTTGTATTAAACTATTAGGGAAAAAAAAAATACATATTAGGGCAATCTTGGAATTCTAAAAATAACTGGTGGAAAGGGTATGTGTGGAAAAGAGAATGAGTCTGGGCTCCAACAGTTGGATTCTATTTGATACAACAAAAAGGTCTTGAGCTCCACTAAGTCCAAGTTCATTTGCTCAACTCCTGGGGGATGCAGACCAGCGCCTGGAGGGAAGGGGGTTATAGAGGGGTGCAGAGGAAAGCACTGTGGACTTCTCCAGGAACCTGGGGAAATCGCAAGAAGAAAATGGAATTTCCTCTAGGCTTAAAAGGATAGCCCTGAATTCAGAGGTTCGGAGTGAGAGGGAAGGGGGTTCAGGGGGCAGGAGCAAACAGAGGAAGGTAGGAATTGTACAGAGATTAAAAGACCAGAAGTGATCTGGGGAGGCAGAGTGCACAGCTCCAGTCTCACCTCTGTGCAATGAGCATATCAGCACCTACTGCTTATAGAGGTTTAGCTGATTAATAAGAGAGTAAGTGGGAACTTTCAGGCCTACCAGGGGAGGAGGATGGTGAGGAAAGGGCATTTAAGGAAGAATTCCTGAATTCCTGAAAGAGTAGGTTCCCTTGGGTGGAACTGAGTGTGCTTTGGTGTCTCCAGATCATAAGCCATCTGTGCAGAGAGTGGTAACAAATGAGCAAAGCTGATGGGCACTGTAGATAGAGCCAGAAGCTTCATCCTCCAGGTCTGGGTTTATGCAAGTGGTTAAGGCCTTGTAATAGCAAATGATAATGCTTATCCCAGGAAAAACTAATTGTCATGCTATAAAAAACATATTTGGGCTTTGTTCCTAGTTTCAGAGGAACAAAGCCCAAAGAGGAACAGAGTGCCCCAAACCCTTGGAATTTCCTGAGTGAGCGGCATCATAAGAACATCTTTTATTGTTCATAGCAACCCCCTTCAACCTCAGCTGAGTTTGTGCTGATGACTTTCAGCCCCAATCTCCCACCTCTGAAGAGAAGAGCTGGAAGATTATTTCAATCACCAATGACCAATGGAACCTTCACCCGAACTCCTAAATGGGGTGTGGAGAACTTGTGGGGTGGTGAACAAACACGCTGAGGTGCTTGGAGGATGGCTTGCCTGGGGAGGGACAGAGCCCCACTCTCTCCCCTCCCCCATGCCTTGCCCCATCCCTGCCTTCCATTTGGCTGGTCCTGAATGGCATCCTTTACTACGCCTAATGAACTGATAACAGTAAGAGGCTTTCATGAGTTCTGTGAGCTGTTCTAGCAAATCATGGAAAACTGGGGTGGAGGGGACTCCAGATTTATAGCTAGCTGGTCAGAAGTACAGGTGGAAACTTGGTGCCTGTGGCTGGCATCAAAACCTGTAGGCGCAGTTTTGAACCTTTAACCAGAGGGGTCTGCACTACCTCTGGGTGCTTATTACAAACTTGGCAGCTTCAACAATAACCATTTATTATTTCATAGTTATTGAGGCCAAAAGTCCAAAAACCAAGTGTTAGCAGGACCGAACTCCATCCACAGTTTCTAGGAGAGAATTTTTCTTGGCCCCTTCCAGTTTCTGAAGGATGGCTCCTGGCATTCCTGGCTTGTGCATAGTCCTAATCTCTGCTCTGTCTTCACCGTCTCTCTCTCTCTCTTTTCTGTATGTGTGTCCCCTTTTCCGTCTCTTATAAAGACACTTTCAGCAGATGTTGGGCCCATCCTACTGCAGCACGACCTTATCTCAGTCCTTACCTTAATTACACCTATAAGACTATTTCAAAATAAAGCCATCTTCTAAGGTTCTGGATGAATATGATGTTTTAGGGGGTGGGACTTCAACCGACTACATAGATTTAACATAACATTGTAGTATTAACCGTGTTAACTGAAAAAGAATCACTACGTTAGTCAATTTATTTCTAAGAGAATTATGTCTCGTAGGCTGGAAGCAAGCCTTGGGCTAAACCACACAGTCATACATCAAAGGAGGGGAAGAAGTAGATACACAGTCTAAATGGGGCAGCAGGGCATACATATTCAATAGGATAGAAGAGAAGCTCATGAATATTCATGAACTCCACATGTGTATGCAGTGGGTTTACACGTATGTAACATGGAAACACAGCTCATATTCACTTTGGGATGGAGATTCAACATTTAAATGCATTATAATTAGGTCCTATACATAAAAAGCTGAAACACCGGGCATAAGTCTTCAAACTATACATCTTTGGAAGACTGGCCGAAACTACTTTGCAGTTGACGGTCAGCCACCAGGAAAATGTTCTTTGTGGTCCAGATTGGTTGACATGTCAGAATCATAAAAAGGAGGGGGAGTGGGTCATGTGGTCAGATGAACTAAACCTTATGTAAGGGGCCTCTTGGGCTTTTGTTTCTCTCAAACCAGACTTTGATTAGTAAGGGGCTGGGTGTGAAAGTGAATGGCATTTGACCACTTCCTCATCCTGCAATGGCTGAAAGCATTAAAATTGGGCGAATTTACCAAAAGAGAGAGGGTCTCTTAGTCTGTCGGAGGGGTTTAGGACTTTTATTTTGGTCTTCAATCTATAACTGTTGTCATAAAATTTCATCATTGAATTACTTATACCTAATATTTGCTAATACAAATCCATAGCATTTCTTTAAAATAGAGCTTAGTATTGTTTTTAGTGTACTCGTTTTAGACTTCTCAATAGATTACCTGCTGAATAACTAGTTTAATTAGTTGTAAGTGAATCAATACTCCAATAGCCCAAAGATTGTATCCAGGATTTCACATAAGGCAGAATCCATAGATCTCCATTCAACAATGTCTAAGAATTAAAAACATTTATGATATAACAACAACAAAATGCAGAACAAAATAACTAATAAACTAGGCAAAAACAAACACCCCCCCCCCAAACAACTACAGTGTATTTTAAACAACAGAAGCATTTTGGGTGGAGGGTGCTGTGAAAAAGTCAAATCTTATTTTAAGATCCCAGTGTTATTACAGACCCTGCCGTCTTCTGTAGAGCTCTTTAGTCACATGAATGATTATTCCTAACATAAAACTTTTAAGTTTACATTTTCAACCATGGTGTTTTCTTTGAGTGAGGTACATCTCATCTTCCCAACTGGAAAGTAAGAACTAATGGACTTTGTGGTCTGATGGAAGCAAACTGGTGAGTCTTGCTTTGCAGGTTACATCTATGCCAATTTCAAGGGGGGACCTCTAAAACATGCCTATTAACCTAACCACCAATTACAAAGCCCAAACATGAAAGTAGATTGCAGCTCATTAGATGGAACCCTCAATTACTAATTGTAGTGTTAAAATCAAGATAGGTAATACGGTAAGTGTGCTTCCTGCGCTGGATACTGCAAATTAACGTCAAAGTGAGGATATTTATGTACACATGTATACAGAAGGTGCCAAAAAATGTGCACACATTTTGAGAAAGGGAAAAAGGTATTAAGTTTGTAATACCTGAGTCACGTTTCACTTCTGCAATTACAAAGGATATTCAACGTGACTTTCATTTTTTTTTTTTCGGTAGATGTTGAGTATTACAATTTTAATACCTTTTTCCCTTAAAGTGTGTATTTTTTGGTACCTTCTGTATATATACATATAAATTTCATATATGCATGTATTAAATACTGAAGACAAAAGTAAAAAGAACTAAAGAATTTAGAAGGGAATTCCTCCCTGAATTCACACATTTAACCAGCAAAAAATAAGGGCTTAGAGAAAAGTAATCTATGCAGATAATAGATTTCCTAACTCCAGAGCTACCTGCCACCACGTTGTCCTAGACCTTGATAAGGCAGAGAAGTTATTAAGAAAAATCAAATAGGCTTGGCGCCTGTGGCTCAAGCAGCTAAGGCGCCAGCCACATACACCTAAGGTGGCGGGTTCAAATCCCCAGCCTGGGCCCGCCAAACAACAATGATGGCTGCAACTGAAAAATAGCCAGGCGTTGTGGTGAGCGCCTGTGGTCCCAGCTACTTGGGAGGCTGAGGTAGGAGACTCGCTTGAGCCCAGGAGTTGGAGGTTGCTGTGAGCTGTAATGCCACGGCACTCTACCCAGGGGGACAGCTTGAGGCTCCTGTCTCAAAAAAAAAAAAAAAGAAAAAGAAAAAAAGAAAAATCAAATAGACCATGAGAATGAAAAGAAAGTAACCACAAAAATGCCCTGCTGGCAAGATTTTGGTAAATGGTTTAGAAATGTTCAGTGGGGTGTGTGTGCGTTAGAGAGAGAGAGAGAGAATGTTTGTGTAGACACCCCACATAGCATAGTTTCAATTTTTAATAAATTATATTCAAATGTTTACACACATAGCATTCATGTAAGAAAAAATAAAAACTATGGACAATTAACAACAATAACA